TGTTTTGACTTTTGCTTGCCAAGTAAACTATATTGTGATTCAGAGTCTCATTTTGGTTCAACTTGAAAATAATCTTCTTAAAGGGATAGCTCCCAAACTTCCCTATTAAAATGTGGCCCATACTTTAATATATATACACACTGAGTATATACTGACTATATTTACATATGTGCATATATAAATACAGCATAACTGACTGTATATTTGTATATAATATATATGCATGCATCCATACAGATATATGTATACAAAAACTGAAAGCAGACATCTGCAAATTCTTGCTGAGTTTTGAGTCTAGGTTGAATTCTGCACAAGGTGAACAGGAAGAGAATCATATGCACTTGCGATGCAGCACTAATGTAACGTGGCTGCTTTGATTTGAGAATTCACCCAAGGGGAGCTGAAAAATATACTTGCATTTCTGAGGATGGAAAGAAATGCAAAAAGACTCATTCATCGAGGTTAAAGAGAAATTGCAAAAGAAGAAATGCAAATGACCAATCAACATATGAAAAATTGTTCAATCTCTTGGATAATTAAAGAAATAAAATTGAACCAGTAATGCAATTCCATCACAGTGTACCTTTTATTTTGGCAAAGACTAATAAAAATAGTAATACTCATAGCTGGAAAGACTGTGGTGAGACAGGTACTCTCCATCATTAATGCGGCAAAAATACATGTTACATCCTACAGTTTGGGGCTATACTAACAGCCTCGATGGTGTTGATTTGATGTAGTTAGAGATGTCTTCAGTAAGGAGGGCCCATTGCTTTTGTACAATTGTGACAGAAAGTTGGGATATGGCCCAAGACAAGAGCCTGATAGCCCGGCATGCATCCTGGGGAAGAAGAGACTTGGGGAATGAGAAGAGGCTTGAATAATGAATGAAAAGAACTCAACCAGTCCAGGAACTGATATGTCGCAGAGCCCCACCTATATGCCTACAGGTTCAACCAACTTCCCAACTGGTGGATGAAGAACAGGACTGTTCTTCAGGGCAGCTATCACAGTAGGATTAGAATTACAAAGACTCTCTACCGGAAATTCCTCAGTGGCGGTGCAGACCATCTCAGCTAGTCACTGTGCTGCCATAAAGTAAAGAAAAATCTTCAGAGAGTTCTGTAAGCTTTTTTTTTTTTTGCTCCATGGAGATTCTGAGACCTGAGTAGCTAGACTAGGATAGCGCTCTGCAAGAGTTCCTTAAGAACCCCAAGCCCGGGAAGAGTTGTTCCAATCAGTGATAACACTCCAATATATCTGAAATTCAAGAAAGCCTGGGTGGGGGCCTCCGCAGCTGCCAGCCCATGTTTCTGCTGTGCTACTGGCTGCCAAGGACGGGTAACACCTAGATAACTTACTGATCACTGGCCTCAACACATTCCCCTTAAAATCTGTCCTCTCTAAAATGGGCACAAATGGGGCTGGGGACTTAGCTCAGCGGCAAAAGCGCCTGCCTGGCAAGCGCAAGGTCATGAGTTCGGTTCCCGGTACCGGAGAATAACCAAAAAAAAAAAAAAAAAAAATGGGCACAAACATCACTTTGACAAGAGAGGACAATTTAGCAGTGATTTGAAGGCACCAAAGAATTCACAGGTCTTTCCTTTTCACACGTTCCTTGTCATATCCCTTAATGTATTGCAAGGTTTTCTCGTCTTCCCTTGAAATTAAAAGGATAAGCTCAGATTTATAAACAAATTTCCCAATGAGAGTGGCATACTGTTCCCTTTGGACACTCATAGTCAGAGGTTTTGCAAATATTATTTGGTCAGAGACCATTCAGGGGCTGCCTGTTAAAGAAATGGTTGGCCTCTTTTGCATTTCTGGTGCTCACCTTGTTCTAGGACTAAAAGAGAAACTCTCGACTCAACAAAACTTAACCATCCAAGAACATGAATTTGCTTCTGTATTTGAGTTTGCTGCAAGTTTCTTTAACAAATTCAGTGTATTCATTCAACAAATATTTACTATATTCTCACTAGGCCCTTTTCTGGGTTCTGGGTTTGAGTGGCAAACCATGAAAAGAACCTTGCCTGCATGTTAGAAGGGGGAGGAGGGAAGTGATGCATATAATAAGTCAGTCAAGATTCAGGGCCTGCCTGTTTCATCACCACTCTCCTTGCCCATCATGGGAGACATGAGACCATCACATGCTGCCATTAGCTACACTCCACATCTTGAGAGTCATTGGAGCCAAGTTGTACCTGATCTGAAGACACTCAGAGGACCCTGCATCTACCAGTCTGACTCCTGCCTCACTGGAACACCATAGGCCTGATAACAGGACTCTGGTGTGGTTTGGAGGCCAAATGTATAGCATGTGTGTCAGTTGTGCTACCATATTCTTCTATACACTGAGAGAAAGGCTTGATAATGCACCAAGACACTCAGACCCTGGACAAAGAAGGCCCTGTTTCTCCACTGGCTTGAGGGATGTCTTTCATAAATTCATTGCTGGTGCAGCATGGGGGTTGCAAGTGGGGAGCACTAGTGAAAGGAGCTCAAGAGCAGACAGGGATGTTTTCACACACCTTCCCCAAGTTTATTGAGTTACAACTGGTCTGCCAAGCATTAAACATATTTAATGTCTACAATTCGGTGAATTTGTGTTATCTTCAACATGGTCAATGTAACAAACATACCCCTCACCTCCCAAAATTTCCTTTGTCTCTATAGCACTGTCTGTATGTGTGTGCATGTGTTAAAACCATCAGACCTGAGACCTACTCTCTTCAAAGAACTTTAGTGCACAATACCTAATTGGTAAGTACAGGCAATAAACTGTGTAGCAGATCACCGGCACTTGATCATCTTATATAACTGTGACATTACTCCAATTGAAAAACTTCCTATTTACCACCTCAGACCCTGCATCCATCATTCTATTGTCTATTCCTATACATGTGACTATTTTAGATGCATCACCTTAGGAGGAATCAAGGGATATTCATCATTATATGACTGATGTATTACCCTTAATGTCTTCCAGGTCCACACATGTGGTCACAAGTAGTAGAAATTCTTCTGATTTTTCTTCTTTTCTCTTTTGCAATATATATATATATATATTTATACATTTGTACATTGTGGAATGACTAAGTCAGACTAATTAACATATAATGATCTCACATGTGGTTTTTTTGCATTCTCCCCTTTTATTTTAAATATAAAAGAATGAAAACATATTAACAAACACAGAGACATAAACAAAGCAACATAAAAACAATATAGATTTTCAGATGCAATAGGAAGTTAACAATGGTAGTTCTATGACATATTGTTACCTTCAAATTGGTTACTCAGATAAACAAATGTAGGCATGTAAGATTGATCAAACAATTAAACATTAACTGTTCCTTCAATAAAACAATAAAAATTAGTAGTACAATTATCTTTGCTATCTTGGGTATGCATATATACATACTCTCCCTTCTGTCTTCTCTTTTCCTTCATCCCAGTTGTTCTTTCCTTTTGAGCAATTTCTTTCCCTTTTACAATATCTACTCTACCTTTTAGATTTTATTTACTCTTTCAGGTTCTTACACTAGGGAGACAATGTGATGTTTACATATGTGAGTCTGACTTATTTCACTTATGAGTATGGTCTCTAGTTGCATCCATTTGCCTAAAAAAGCCTTGAGTTTATCTTTCTTTCTAAATTAGTAATATTCCACTATGTAAAATATTTTTTGTAATGAGACCATTTTTAAATTCTCATCATTTTTCACATACACAATACATTGTTATTATCTGTGGTCACCATGGTGTGTACAATAGCTCCTTAGTGCTTATTGATTCTAACTGAAATTTTAAACCCTTTGATCATCCTCTCCCTCAGTTCTCATCCCCTCAGATTCTGGTAACCACCAGTTTTATTCTTTGCTTCTATGAGTTCATTTTTAGATTCCACATATAGGTGAGATCATGAGGCACGTGTCTTTCTATATTGGGCTTATTTTACTTAATCTAATATCCTTCAGCTTTACCTACATTGCATATGACAGGATTTCCTTCCTTTTAAAGGGAAAGTAGCTCTACACTGTATACATATGCTACAGTTTATTTATTCATTCAACCTTTCATGGACACTTAGACCAATTCCAAATCTTGATTCTGTGGACAATAACGAAAGGAATATCAGGGTGCAAAGAATTTCTTCAGCATACCGACTTTATATCTTTTGTATATATACCCAGAAGAGAGATTACTGGATCACATGGTAGTTCTATTTTTAATTTTTTGAGGAAGTGCCATACTGTTTTCCATAATGGCTCTGCTAATTTACATTCCCACCAACAGTGTGTGAAGGTTCCCTTTTACCAGATTCCCACTAACATTTCTTTGTTTTTCATCTTTTATATGATAGAAAATCTAACAGATATTATTGTAATTTCAGTTTTAATTTGCCTGATGATGAGTTGTGTTATTTCTTTTTTTTTTTTTTTTTTTTTTTTTTTTTGGTTTTTCTCCAGTATCGGGAACCAAACTCACGACCTTGCACTTGCCAGGCAGGTGCTTTTGCCACTGAGCTAAATCCCCAGCCCCGAGTTATGTTATTTCTCACATATCTGTTACCTGTTTTTGTGTCTTCTTTGGAGATTTATTTGCTTAGCTTCCTTGCCTATTTTTGTAGTTGGGTTCTGTTGTGAGTATGGTAGATTTGTTGTTTGTTTGCTATTGAGTTGTAGGAGACCCTTATATATTTTTTAAACTAAATCAACTCCTTATCAAATAGAGATTTGCATATATTTCCTCCCAATCCACAGGTTGCCTTTTCATACTTTTGGTTGTTTTTCTTGCTATACAGAAGACTTTTAGTTTCATATAACCCCTCATAATTACTGTTCTGTTGTGGCCTGTGCTTCTGATGTCATATCTAAGACATCATTGCTGAGACCAATGTCACCAAGATTTTCCTCTTTGTTTTTTTTTTTTTTTTTTTCAAGAAATCGTGTGGTCTTAGGTACTAGTTTTAAGTTTTTAGTATATTTTGAGCTGATTTTTATGTTTAAAATAAGAGTTCAATTTCTTTCTTCTGCATGTAGATGTTCAGTTTTCCCAACATGATTTATTCAGGAGACTACCCATTCCCCATGTAGTATTCTTGATATTCTTATAGAAGATGAGTTGGACCTTGTATTTGAAGATTTCATTTCCAAGGATATCTTTTCTGTTCAATAGATGTCTGTGTCTAATTTTTGTCAGTACTATATTGTTTTGTTCATTGTGGATTTGTAATTTATTTTTAAGGCAGGAAATGTGCTGCTCTCAGATTTGTTTTTCACGCTCATGATTACTTTATCTGTTTGGGATCTTCAGTGACTTCTTGTGACTTGTAGGATTTTTTTTCTGTTGCTGTATATAAAAGTCTGTGGAAGAGATGGTGAACATTTTATAAACTGACTCCCCAAACTGCAACCAAAACCCACTTATTTACCACAAAATGTAAACATTTCAGTGAAACTTGAATACTGAAGTTTTAATTTACAAAAAACAACTCATATATTAGCTCTTTTGTCTTAAGAGCAGAACACAATAACATGTGTGGCATAGGTTCACCACCACTGGCCTATGAGATTTTCATAAGAACTACATTGAATTCATAGATTGCTTTGAGTAGTATGAACAACTTAACAATATTAATTTTTCTAATATATGAACATCTGATGTCTTCCCATCTATTTGTGTCTAGTATCCTTTAAGAATGTCAATGCTTCTGTTCAATGTAGTACTCGAAGTCCTAGCCAGAGCAATTAAACAGGATAAAGAAATAAAGGGAAGACATAAAACTGTCTCCATTTGTAGATGATATGATCTTAGATGCACTACATCTTAAATAGTCCACCAAAAAATTGTTAGCACTAATAAATTTAGTAAAGTTGCAGGATACAAAATTAACATTTGAAAAATAGTTGTCTTTCTAAAAACCTATAATTAACTGTTAGAAGTTAAAATTAAGAAAAAATTCCATTTTAATAGCACAAAAAGAATAAAATACTTAGGAATAAACCTACCCAAAGAAGTTATAGATAGGGATGATTTTGAAGGTTAGAACATCATAATTATCTTTATTCTATAGGTAATGGGGAAGCCCTGAAAATTCTGATCAGGTCTCTGAAAATTTAGAAATGTTATATAGGAGGATTAATTGGATGACTATATATATGCTAGACTAGGTAAGGAAAAGAATAGAGGAGAAAAGGCTACTTAAGAGTGAGTCGCCAAATGCTGAGCAGGAATTGAAAAGAGAATAACTGGGAAAAAGCAGCATGGAAAGAAGTGTTTAGATATTGCCAGGGTTGGAGGCACAAGGATAGGAAAACAACTGGTATGACAGTAAGAGAAATAATAAAAATAATAACAGTAGTAAGACTTCTCTATCTGAGTAGCTACAAGGATGGTGGCAACATTAATGTAAATGAGGAATTTTTCATCAGAAACTCCACACAGCCTCCAAACTGACCTTGTGTATTAAAGATGTTCCTCCCAGTCACTGGAGCCTGATCTTCCAGCATATCAGGTTATTGGTGAAGTCTCAATATACTTCTCAGATGAAGGATGTGGTAACAAAACTAAGACTATACACTTGGCCCCAACACCAGGACAGAGCTCCATTTGTCTTAAAAATTGGCTCATGAGCAAATGTCAAGAACAACCAAATTTTGTCATTTGGTTTGTGTGGGGTTTTTTTGTTGTTTTTTTGTTTGTTTGTTTGTTTTCTTCTGTTCTGTTCTGTTCTGTTTTGTTCTGTTCTTTTTTGTTCTTAAGACATGCTGTATTTAAGATGCATCCTGACATTCAGGTTGGAATGTTTGGTACACTGTGAGCTCTAGTTCTAGTGGTGAGGAGCTGTATGGCGTTTGGAGGACCACCCACATGATGGTCTTTTTTAAAACCCAGATATGAGATTAGCAAAGTAAATAATGGAAAGACAGAGAAGAAAAGGACAAAGACATTCAAAGGAAACATGTTTGAGTGAAAAAGAAGGAAAAAAGAGAGAGGATTTAGATATGATAGACAGCCTGGAGAGGTCATGCAGGTCACAGAAGGAGTAGTTTTGAGACAAAGACTGTAAGTAAAAGGCTCAACATTGGGGGACTGAAAGTGCCCAATGGGTTTGACAACTTGGATATTTCTAAAGATTTTCAAGAGAAGTTTCAATAGAAGGATGAGGTTCATATAATGAGAAAAAGGGGAAGAGCAAGATATTAAAAGATGAAAGGTGAAAATAATTTCAAGAAGTTTGGGAGCAATTGGGGCCACAAACACAATGGAATTAGGTCTGGCTGTGTCTTTACCTGACACTGACTGCATCCTCCTCCACTAAAATACTGGTACCCAACTTGGGTAAACCATAACCCTATATGGCATTATTACTTTATGGCACTCAAGCTAAAAATATTTCTGTATTTGCAAAGGGTTGGAACACTATTTCATGACACATGAAACATGATACAAAAGTTAAATTTCAGTCTCCATAAATAAAATGTTAATGGATAGAAGAAATTTGGAGGTGAAAAGAAGAGGTACAGCTTGGAAAGTGGTAGAATGAAGGAGAGTTTGAGTTGGGTTTTAGACTGAGATTTTGAGTCAGCAGGAAAGAAAAGATCTACTGAAAAGGAGCTCCCACAAAAGGCAGACATTGCCTAGAGGAAAAGCATAGATGCTTTCATTTGTGAGTAAGAAAAAGTCCCACAAAAGTAGCTCTCACAATACAGGCTCCTATTTTACATATAAAGTACAAACTGTCAGCCACATGTTTGGACACTTGGGAAGGACTAAGAACAAGATGTACTTTTCATGCAATCGAAATCCAAGTAGTGTCAGATGTGCCCTGTTGGCATGGAAACCAAGAAGCTTAAGGACCTCAAATTTCAAAATTGATTTTACAACCATATTTGCATTTTGTGTAGGTGTGGATGCTAATTGTAATGCTCAGGCCAATGCAAAGACAAAAACATACTGTATTTCTTAATGAGTTTACTAGTACTTTCTTCACTAGTTAATCAGCACTTGTGTTTTTGGACACTAAATGGTTTTGCACTAACAATTTTTACACATAAATGTAATTTACAAATGTTGATTAGTGACATCTTTGCTGCTGAGGGGACTATTTTTTGTGTATAGGAGCTTCAACAGGACTATCTAGCCTGTGATCTCACATATACCTATCTACTCCCTGACTTCTTCCCCAGACAGCCTGTCCCCTGTTAAAGGATCTGATTCCAATTTCTGGGACCAATTGTACTTTGCTTAAAGTGATGAATCACTCTCATTAAACTATGGTTGGATACCTTCATGTGATTATTTATTTTACCCTGTACCTATTGACTGTAGATCTTGTTGATTACAAATTTCAGCTAAAACAATCCTCAAGCATCACAAATCCTGGTTCTCTCCATGGACACTGAGGGATAAAATAGTAACAAATGGACAAAGAATACTGGACATTCTAGCAATCATAGTGACTTCAAGATGGGGCCAGTAACTGGGAGAGGAAGTGATTCTTCATTACTGTACTGGTATTTGGACTCTTGACTGCTTTTCCAGTTTGCCTTCATACCCTTATATCCACGGAAATGTGAGGATTTAGAAACGGTACTGACCTCTCAGAGAAAGTTTTGTTCCTAAATGGCTTCAAGGGAACTCCTTCACTGGCAATCTTGGTATACCAGATTCCAGTGGGCTTGGCAGATGTGCAATATCCAAGCCCTAACAGTCCCCCAATTCTGCACTCCAGGGTTGGGGGGCCAAGAACTCTGACTCTCTTGTGGTGCTTACAACCATGTTGTCACATGAAACTGAGCGTTACTCAAGGCTAGGGCCATGTTTCACAGTGACCTGTATTTTTTAGTTCTTAGATCAGCACCTGGCACATGGATGATATTCAAAACATAGCTGATCCATAAGAAATTAATATATGAAAAGAGCGTATCTTCTCAGGAGCTGCATGGGATGGAGGTAGAGCAAAAGGAGTTTCTTATTTCAATTCCCACAACAAATCTGAAATGGAGAGGGTTTGCTCCCTGTTATGCAGTTCTACGGATGTGGAGGAGGGGAATTTACTCAACAGTCTGGCCATGCACAGATTGGGACCCGGAACTCATGCTACTCTCTCCAGTTTACCTCTCTCCTGTCTCATAGGGAACATTCACTGTAGGCCATACTAATGGGTAAAACCATTTCAACTCTATTACATTCGTTCATTGTAGACCACATTATTGAGTGAAATCATTTCAATTCTATTTGCAAATTTCAGAATCAGTGGTTCTACTTTCCAAATAGTAACCAAAAAGTAGCTCAGAAGTAGCTATTCAGGTGGAATGTTCCCTGAGTGGGCCCAGGACCCCACAGGTCTCCTTCCCCAGGTAACATGAGCCAGCTCCTTTTGGATGAACATCATCCTGTTTCACATTATGGTATCGTTTTTGAACATCAGTGGAATGAGATGTCAAATTCTGTGGGGCCCAGTCTGGCTTCCACAGTCTTCTCAGGAAGTACTCTTAGCATATCGATGAGATCTTGAACAAATTTTGTTGGAATTTTCAATCTAAATTAAGTCTTACACAAACCTTGGCCTTACAGTTTTGATTTATCCCTTCCTGCTCAACCTAAACTCACTCCTGGCTTTTCTAAACCAGATTAAACACAATACAAAAGAGAGAGTCACAGATTGCTTCCCCATGAAGATGTTTAGCAAGCAGGATGTTTATTAAGCATATCCTTCAAATTAAAAGCTGTGACAGGGAAGAGAACAAGGATATGTAGCAGAGACAGAATTTCAACTGGGACGCAGACCCTGTGGTAGCCTCAGGTGACCCTATGGGGACCTCTGGAGTTAGAATGATCCTTTAACATTGTCCCAAGTTGAACCTTACCTACCAGTCATGGACTGGACCACTCCCCAACAGAGATGTGAATTTAGAGAGCTTTCTGTCATCTTTAAAGAAACTAACAGATGCTAGGGTCATTGGTATACCCCTGTATGGCTCAGTTGGCAAGTCCTTGTCAAAGGGAGATTCACCAGCAGCACATGCCTCAGTGCATAGTAAAGTTGGTCTATCTCCCCGATGAGGGAAAATAGCATGCTCCTCAAACCAAAGTCACCCAACCCAGAGCATTCAGTATGTGTGCTGTGCTGGCTGCATACTGTGGATTCAGAGAAGAGACCTTAGCTTCCAAGAGCCCCTCTTAATCTTTGTCTGTGTGAGCCAACTCCTACAGTGGGGTTCTTACCTCCAATTTCCTATCCAGTTCTCTGCTGAGATTACAGAGTCCTGAAACCTCATCTTTTCCCTGGGTCCACAGCCACTAGTCCCTTTAGTCCTTGCACATATTCACTCTACTTCCATTTC